GTTGTACCAATGGCAATTTTGTACGGCGTCGAGTCGTCGCTATCAATAGGAGGCAAACGTTACAAATAATGAAACGCAAATAAAAAATGCATTATCATACTGATAATACACCAATTCACAAAAACTTATAAAGTGCAATGGACTACACATATCGGTTCACCAAAACTTATAAGGTGCAATTTGTCTATACACGATGTACAGTACATTATAGACCGTACCTCCTTCACCATTTTGAGTACTTCCATCACCATTATGTTCGTGTACGTTGTCCGTCGTCTTCCGGGTAGTACCTGCAAGCATTGAAACGTCAAACATACGCATCACAAACTTATTTGCAAAAGTTGATATAAGTATTCATAATATTTGCATGTGAATGAGACTGAAATATAGAGTAACAATGTGAAACGCGCAGATCAATTTCAAAATCATATAGATATTAGTTTTTTTTTTTTTTTTTCCCTATAACACTTGATGATTCCTGAACACGCTCTCGAAATATTAGAATAGATCATGGTAAACAATGAAAAATAAAGAAAAAAAAATATCGAGCGGACCGATACAGATCTGGTACTAAGACCGATACAGATCTGGTACAAAAAACGCAGATAACTAGATACAACCAAAATAAACAAACATCAAACACCTACTAATTAACATGAACTTGAAGAGAGAGAATACCTCGTTTCTTCGTTTGCGGAGTATTCCCCATAATCTAAGAGTGGCGAACAAATGCTTCCGAACTGTACGAATCTAGCTATTAATCACCTCAGAAATTTAGTAAAGGCCCGGATATTGTACGCCTGTCACTAGCACTGAGAAATCCGATGAGAAAACGAGCTTAATCGACCCTCAAAAGCTGTGAAACCGCCATCAGACACCAACGAGCTCCTCCATCAATGCGAGATCTGGCCTAAAATAATTTTTGCAATTAATGTGCCTGAAAACGGACCTCTACCCCTTTGCTAATGCGAGAAAGACTAAAATGTCCTCCAACATAAACAATTGTCCGTAAAACCTGAGATAATTACAAGTGTGCCACTGCGCGGTCAACCAGAGCTAAATTAGATTTGACTCTATCTCATCCGTTGA